GGAGGGGCAAAATATATAAAATATGCATTGAAAGCATCACAGAGCTATAAATATAGTGGGAAAATGAAGGTCCTAAGATCTAAGAGAAGGAGCTTCAGAGAAGTAATCTGTTATTTGAAGCTGCTTTTCTCTTATGGGTGTGCAGTTCTAGAAAAAAAAACTGCAGAGAAAGGCTGTAAGAACTTTCAACAGATTCACAGGGGTCCACAAAGAGGGATACTGGTAGAAAAAACAAACCAAACCCCCCCAAAACACAACTCTTCCAACCTCTGGCTTGGGATGCTGACATCCAGAGCCTCGATTTTTTTTTTTTTTCTTTCTTTCAGTTTTTCATGTAAACACAATGAAAACCAAGCACGAACATGAGGAGACGAGGCCATATCACAGAAAATCAAGAGGAAAACAGACAATAGAAGTGAACCTACAAGGGATCCAGATAATAGGATTATCAGATGCAGATTTTAAGGAACTATATTTTTTAACTGCAGGTTGGGCATAGCCGAAGAATATAAGTGAACTGGAAGAAATAAGAAAAATCCAGATTGAATCATAGAGAGTAACAGGGTAGAAAACCAGAAAAGAATGTAAGATACCTATGACAATTGACAAAAAGGACATGTATTTAATGTCCCAGCAGGAGGAGGAAAGAAATGAGACAGAAGAGGTGCAATTGAGAATTTTCTAAAATGGAGAAAAAACATGAACCTACAAATTCAAGAACATTTACAAATCCCATGCAGGATAAATACCTTAAGAAACCATTAAAAGACATGTACACAAATCATAGTCCAAATTTATAACAATTCAAATGTCCATCAACAGTAGGATGGATAATTCTAGCCACACAGTGGAATACTACTGCATGTGATGTGAATGAACCTTACAGACAAGATGTTGAGTTAAAGAAATCAGCCACAAAATTGTACATACTGTATGATTTTATGTATGTGAATTTCAAAATAAGAGAAAACTAATCTTTGAAGTCAGAATAGGGATGGCTTACAGGAAAGGAAGGAAATTATCGATTGAGAAAAGACAAGGCTTCTGGGATATTGGACTTTTTCTGTTTGTTTATGTGGGGGTGGTGGTCATGCAAATATTCATTGTAAAAAATTTAATTGAGCAGCGTGCCTGGGTGGCTCAGTCGGTTGAGAAATAAAACAGTTGTGCTGTTAACAAAGGAAACATTTGTTTTATTTATGTATGCACCAAAGCTAACGTGAAAAAGAAATTTCAGAATCTTGGGGCACCTGGCTGGCTTAGTTGGAAGAGATGAGACTCTTCATCTCAGGGTTGTGAGTTTGAACCCCATGTTAGGTGTAGATATTTAAAAATAAAATCTTGAGGGGCGCCTGGTGGCTCAGTTGTTAAGCGTCTGCCTTCGGCTCAGGTCCTGAGGCTCAGGTCCTGATTCTGGGTTCGAGTCCGGCATTGGGCTCCCTGCTCCGCAGGAAGTCTGCTTCTCCCTCTCCCACTCCCCTGCTTGTGTTCCCTCTCTTGCTGTCTCTCTCTCTGTCAAATAAATAAATAAAACCTTTAAAAAATAAATAAATAAAATCTTTAAAAAAAAAGAAATTTCAGAATCTAATTATTGTCCTAAGCATATAGTTGATGTCTCACATTCCATAATTATATAAACATGCTACTTTTATGGATAAGTCCACAAAATTTAAAAGCCCAGTATTTTTGTTCAGGGTTTTTATTTCTCCCATATTTTTTTAAAGATTTTATTTATTTATTTTTAGAGAGAGAACACGTGCAAATGGGGGGGCCGGGGTAGAGGGAGAGAGAGAATCTTTTTTTCTTTTAGATTTTATTTATTTGAGAGAGAGAATGGGAGGGGGAGAGAGAGTGAGCATGAGAGGGGGGAGAGTCAGAGGGAGAAGCAGACTCCCTGCTGAGCAGGGAGCCTGATGCGGGACTCCATCTCCGGACGCCAAGATAATGACACGAGCCGAAGGCAGTCGCTTAACCGACTGAGTCCCCCAGGCGTCCTTATTTCTCCCATATTAATGGTAATGACAAATCTTATAATTGTTGCTATTTTTTGTTTCTGTTATTTATTAAATCTAGTGTGGCATCTAGATGATACGTAAAAAAAGTGGTCCCAGAATACAACCTATGTTTGTTCTATAGATGAATATGTAATTTTTGTTTTCTTTGAAATGGTTCAGAAGTAGGAAAACTGAGCGGTAATGAAACTTCTGAGCACTAAGTGATGAAAAACTAATTATGATATATTCCATATTTGTCAGCATGTCATCCTGTGGAATGAAAGAATTGCTTTTCTTATTCTGTTTTATTTTTGCTTGTAAGATAGAGGTGTCTTGGGCGCCTGGGTGGCTCAATAGGTTAAGTGTCTGCCTTTGGCTCAGGTTATGGTCCCAGGGTCCTGAGATCAAGTCCTGCATGGGGCTCCCTGCTTAGCAGGGAGTCTGCTTCTCCATCTGCCCCGCCCCCCAACTCGTGCATGCACTTGCTCTCTCGCAAAAATAAATAAAATCTTTTTTAAGAAATAAAGGTATCTTGAAATAGGACAGAAAAATAGAAGCAGTAGGTAGGAATTTAGAAATGAAAATATAGTTGTCAGTGTTAATACTGTGAGAGGCCTTTGGGGCTGTGATAGGTGGAGGCGGCAATAGACCTCTTGCTAATGACAAAAGCTATTCTTTTTTAAGATTTATTTATTTATTTTAGAGAGCAAGTGCCTGACTGCGGGGAGGGGAAGAGAGACAGAACCTTTAAGCAAACTCCCCGCTGAGCTCGAAACCTGACCTGGGGCTGGATCCTACCACCCATGAGATCACGACCTGAGGCGAAATCAAGAGTTGGACGCTCAACCCAACTGACCCACCCAGGCCCCCCTACAAAAGCTGTTTTTGAAGATAGTGATAGGATAATTCAGTACTCTGGGGCCTCAAAGCTTTCACCATCTTGCAAGAGTTAGAAATGTAGAACCTCAGGCCCCTCCCTAGAACTATTGATTTTGAATGAATGAATTTATATACATATATATGTAATTGCATTTTTAATGTATTTAATGTAAATGTATTTTAAAGTAATCTCTACACCCATGACGGGGCTCGAGTTCACAAGCCTGAGATCAAAAGTCACATGCTCTACCAACTGTGACAGTCAGGCACCCCTAGAATCTCTGTTTAAACAAGATTCCCAAATGATCTCATGCATGTTAAAGTTTGAGAAACATTGTTACCTGTATATTTTGATGCTAACAATAATATATGATGGAGGAGTCCCTGTGTGAAGTTAGGAAAGCTGAGTCTTCCCAGATTAACCCATCTCTTATATTAATGATTATGGAATAATATTTAGAAGGCTGGGAAGGAATTGTAGAAAGAGTTGCTTTAAAAAGTGGAGTGGGGAGTGCCTGGGTGGCTCAGTTGGTTAGTCTGCCTTTGGCTGAGGTTATGATCCCAGGGTCCTGGGATTGAGCCCTACTTCAGGCTCCCTGCTCAATGGGGAGTCTTCTTCTTTCTCTCCCTCTGCCCCCACCACTCCCACCCCCCGCTGGTGCTCTCTCTCTCAAATAAATAAAATCTTTAAAAAAAAAAAGTGTTTTGGAGTGGTGCCTGAGTGGTACCTTAGTTGGTAGAGCATGCAGCTCTTGGTCTTGGGATCATGAGTTCAAGTCCCACGTTGGAGCTTACTTAAAATGAACAAATAAAAAGTATTTTGGGGGCACCTGGGTGGGTCAGTCAGTTAAGAGCCTGCCTTCGGCTCAGGTCATGATCCCAGGGACATCCGGTTCCCCCTGCTCAGCGGGGAGTCTGCTTCTCTCTCTGCCTGCTGCTTCTCCTGCTTGTGTGCGCGCTCTCTCTGTCAAATAAATAAAATCTTGGGGAAAAATATTTTGGAGGAAAGTATACTGATGTTCTTTTTCTTTTTAAGATTTTATTTATTTAATTTTAGAAATATCTCAAGTGGCAAGAGGAGCAGAGGAAGAGGGACAAGCAGACTCCATGCTGAGCACAGAGGCTGACTGGGGGCTTGATCCCACCACCCTAAGATCATGACCTAAGCTGAAATCGAGTCGGAGGCTTAGCTGACTGAGCCACTCAGGCACCCCATGATATTCTTCATATTACTTGAAATACACAGAATACGTGGATTGATTGTTTAAAGGGAATAGATATGATAAAGCAAAAATCATAAAATAGTATAGAATCTATTTGTTGGGCATATGAGTGTTCACTGTAAAATTCTTTGACTTTTATATGCTTTAAATTTTTCATAATAAAATATTAGGAATATGAAAATGGGCATCATATACCAGATTCTGTAGTTATCTTTGATTTGCATATTTGCTTTACTTTATAATATATTAATACTTTCCTCTTTAAGAAGATAAAGTGGCTAATATTTTTTTGAAAGGGCCCCATGTACCAAACATAGTGCTTTTACTATATGCATTATCTCATTTAGTCTTCATAACACTCTGATGAGTTAGGTATCATTGCCAGTTTGTAGCTGAGAAAACCAACAAAACAATTTAATATACTTGTAAGCTTAGGAGATGCATTTTGAACCTGGGGTCTCTGACTTAAGAGATGATGATTACCGCATTACCTGATTCAAGGGTCACCATGTATATTTTTGGCACGATAAGAGTATCGTTCACTATGAATACAAAGTGGAGGGGCGCCTGGGTGCCTCAATCGGTTAAGCATCCGACTCTTGATTTCGGCTCAGGTCATGATCTCAAGGTCAAGAGATCGAGTGTGTCGTCCCCCCCACCCCCACCCCCAGTCAGGCTCCTCGCTGGTCTTGGAGCCTGCTTAAGATTCTCTCTCTCTAAAAAAAAGAATACAAAGTGGAACATTTCCCTGGAATTGTGCAACAGGGCTACCTGGCATTAACCACTTGCTTATGGGGCTGCGTCATTATTCTCTTAAACTTATGCAAAATGAAAATTTAACATATTTTTCTGATGTGAACTTTGAATTGTTCCATGACTTTTTCTTGTGTGTTTTGTTTTTAAGATTCTTGGATCTCCCAGTCAGCATCATTTCCCCGTAATCAGAAACAGCCAGGGGTGGATTCTTTATCACCAGTGGTCTCCCTTCCTAAACAGATTTTCCAGTCTTCAGTCCAACAGCAACTTACAAAACCAGCTAAAATCACTTGTGCACACTGCAGAAAACCTTTACAGAAGGGACAGACAGCTTATCAACGAAAAGGATCGGCTCACCTCTTTTGTTCTACCACCTGCCTTTCTTCCTTCTCTCATAAGTGCACTCCAAAGAAACGCAACGTAATAAGTAAAAAGTAAGCCGTACTTTTCAACATGCTTGAATACTGGCAATATAGATATGTGTTGAATGTAATTGGAGAGCTGCATAGATTTCATGGATACAGTTGTTGCAAAGGTATCTTCAAGGTTTTTGAGCTTGAGTTACCCTAGCGTGTATCAGAGCTATAGGTTCATTTGTACTGTCATTTTTTTTTCTTTTTTTATTAACATATGATGTATTATTTGTTTCAGGGGTACAGGTCTGTGATTCATCAGTCTTACACAAGTCATAGCGTTCACCATAGCACATGCCCTCCCCAGTCTCCATCACCCAACCACCCCATCCCTCCCACCCCCCTCTGCTCAGCAACCCCCAATTTGTTTCCTGAGATTGAGTCTCTTATGGTTTGTCTCCCTCTGTGGTTTCGTCTTGTTTCATTTTTTCCTCTCTTCCCCTATGATCCTCTGCCTTGTTTCTCAAATTCCACCATATCAGTGAGATCATATGATAATTGTCTTTCTCTGATTGACTTACTTCGCTTAGCATAATACCCTCTACTTCCATCCACGTCATTGCAAATGGCAAGATTTCATTTTTTTGATGGCTGCATAATATTCCTGTGTGTGTGTGTGTGTGTGTTTGTGTACACCACATCTTCTTTATCCATTCATCTTGTACTGTCCTTATTCTTGGCAAGAAATGGAATGTAGATATAGAAATAAATTGACCCTCTCCCTGCCACTGTTTTCGCCTCATCCCTTCCCCAGCTTTTACCTTAGGTCTTGCAAGTTGCTGCCACCCTTTTTGAATGCTTCAAAAAGTCATAATAACTTATGACAAGGTTCTTGTGCTATAAAATGTTTTTATCTCCAAATCATCTCTTGCCATATTAATTAGGAACTCTTGACAGTGAAACCAAAAAAGTGGGTTTTGTTAGATCCAAAAATTATAGTTGATTCCTAGGATTAAATCATGAAAAAAAGCAAAAATGTTGTTTATTGTTCATATATTTGATTTTTATTAGAATGCAATATTCTTAAATGATGTCTGTCCCTTTTGTTTCAGAGATGTACCTACAAAAAGGGCTACTAACGTTCCTCAAGTTGAGTCAAGAGAATCCTCCCAAGAATTTTGTAGTACGTCTTTGCCTCCCTATGAAGACAACCAGAATCTTAGAAAAAGAATTAATAAATCAAGATGTATAATCTGTAGTAAACTAACAGAGGTCTGGACTTTCATATCTTATTTCAGTTATTATCTACGTTTTTTTGTTTTTTTTTTCGTAAAGATTTTATTTATTTATTTGAGAGAGAATGAGATAGAGAGCATGAGAGGGGGGAGGGTCAGAGGGAGAAGCAGACTCCCTGCTTAGCAGGGAGCCCGATGCGGGATTCGATCCCAGGACTCCAGGATCATGACCCGAGCCGAAGGCAGTCGCTTAACCAACTGAGCCACCCAGGCGCCCCGTTATTATCTAGGTTAACAGGGATAATTTTAACTTTTCAGTGTTATTATATGCTCTGCCATCTACATAATACACATGTCCTGGATCTACACAATGAAGTTAAAGGGAATGATAAGGATATGTTCAAACTAACTCTCTTAGGAACAGATATCCCATTTGCATGCTATGGAAAGTACACAGCTATTTCCATGAAATTAGATCTACTCCTAAACAAAGCAGTAGTTCTCTGGTGAATTTTGTTCTTACTAGCCACTCTAAATAAAAGTGTAGGTTCAGGATGCAAAGGATGCAACCAATCCTGGTACAAGAATATGTAGAACAAGTGGAGTTAAGTGTGCTGGTACCCTCACATTTCTTAAGTGGTATTGCCATCTTTCCAGTTGCTCAAAGAAGAAACATTCATACAGGAAGTCTTCACTTAACACAGTTCTTGGTGACTGAATTTGGTGTTTCCCAGAGCCTTGCAAATTGAAGATACAATTTTATCTCAGTTACCACAGAACTGGGCAAAGCAAGAACTACCTTACTTGTGTATATACAGACACCATCCCGAATATGGTAATATTATTCTTGTAGCCCCTCCCATAAATTTTCTAGGGCAATGAAGTTTATAATACCAGAAATTCCCAATCCATTTCTTTTAAGCAGGTCATATTAAAGTCTTCTAAACCAGTTCATTTCCTCTAGTTCTTAAGTGTCTCTGGGGAAGTTATTACTGATTTTACAGGGTTTTTTGTTCTGTGAATCTATGAATAAAATGAAAGAATGATTTACAAAGAAATCAGAGATAAAAATGTAAGAGTAACAAAATGTGCTTATTAGTCTTTTCCCTGAATATGTCTTCCACGGAGAAATCACTGGAGGTTGGTTTTTGAGGGTGTGGGGGTTTTTGTGTGTGTGTGTGTGTTTTTTTTTTTTTAATTTTATTTATTTGAGAGAGAGAGAGAATGAGAGAGAGCACATGAGAGGGGGGAGGGTCAGAGGGAGAAGCAGACTCCCTGCCGAGCAGGGAGCCCGATGCGGGACTCGATCCAGGGACTCCAGGATCATGACCTGAGCCGAAGGCAGTCGCTTAACCAACTGAGCCACCCAGGCGCCCTGTGTGTGTTTTTTTTAAACTTTCTCTTCACTTACTGTGCTAATCTGACTCATTTATTTAATAAATTCTGGCTTTTCTTCTAGATTCGCCATGAAGTCAGCGTTAATAATGTAATACATAAACTGTGCAGTAACCAGTGCTTTAATAAGTACAGGTTGGCCAATGGACTAATAATGAATTGCTGTGAACAGTGTGGAGAGTATTTGCCCGGTAAAAGTTCTGGAAATAATGTCCTGATCATTGAAGGTCAGCAGACAAGATTTTGCTGCCAAGGTTGTGTTAATGAATATAAACAGGTAATTCTTTTCAATGCATTTTAAATGATCAAGTATACAATAGCTTCTGCCTGTTAGCTTACAATAATCAGGTTTATCTTAGAATCTCATTTAGTTCCGTTTTTGTCAATCTGTCATTAAGCTGTCCCATCTCAAATGAGTATTGAAATCAGTTTCATATTCTAAGCTAGTTTTCCTTCCTCTTCTATTTTGTAGAATAGTGTAGAGAATAGGTACTAACTTTTCTTAAATGTTTGGTAGAATTCATCTGTGAACTCAGTCCTGGACTTTGTTTAGAGTTTTTTGATTACTGATTCAGTTTTGGAAGATTATGTTTCTGGGAATTTACCCATTTCTTCTAGGTTGTCCATATGTTGGCATATAATTTTTCATAATATCCTCTTAGAATCTTTTGTGTTTCTGTAGTGTCATTATTTTTTCTCCATTTCTGATTTTATTTGGGTGTTCTTTTTTTCTTGATGAGTGGCTAATGGTTTATCAGTTATTCTGTTTTATCTTTTCAAATGGTCTTTTCTATTGTTTTTTTAATCTCTGAAATCATTTATACTCTCTTGTTATTTTCTTCTTTCTACTGGCTTTGGACTTGCTTTTTTTCTAGCTCTTTTAGGTGTACAGTTAGATTGTTTGAGATTTGTTTTGCTTTTTAAAGTAGGCCTGTGTTGCTATAAACTTCCCTCTTAGAACTGCTTTTTGCTGTGTCCCAAAGATTTTGGACCTTCACATTTTCATTTTCATTTGTCTCCATGTATTTTTTTTTTTTTTTTTTCTCTCATTTCTTCATTGACCCATTCGTTGATTGTTTAGTAGAATGTTTTTTAGCCTCCATGTGTTTGTTTTTTCCCATTTTTTTCTTATACTTGATTTGTAGTTTCACACTCTTGTTATCAATAAGGAAAGATGCTTGATATTTCAGTCTTAAATTTATTGAGACTTATTTTGTGGTCTAACATGTGATCTGTCCAAGCAAGTGTTCTGTGTGCACTTGAAAAGAATGTATTCTGCTGGTTTTGGATGGAATGTTCTGTATATGCATATATACATATACATATACATACATACATATATATGTATATGTATATATGTATATATGTATAAATGTTTAGTCGTCTGGTCTAATGTGTCATTCAAAGCCACAGTTTTGTTGTTGTTTTTTTTTTTTAAGATTTTATTTATTTATTTGACAGACACAGCGAGAGAGGGAACACAAGCAGGGGGAGTGGGAGAGGGAGAAGCAGGCTCTCCGCCGAGCAGGGAGCCTGATGCGGGGCTCGATCCCAGGACCCTGGGATCATGACCTGAGCCAAAGGCAGACGCTTAATGACTGAGCCACCCAGGTGCCCAAAGCCACAGTTTTCTTACTGATTTGCAGTCTAGATGATTTATCCATTGATGCAAGTGAGGTGTTAATGTCCCCTCTATTACTCTTATTACTGTCAGTTTCTCCTTTATGTCTGTTAACATTTGCTTTATGTATTTAGGTGCTCCTGTGTTTGGTGCATAGATATTTACAATTGTATGTCCTCTCTTGCTCTCTTCCCTTGTGGTTTGATGGATTTCTTTAATGTTATGCTTGGATTCCTTTCTCTTTATTTTTTGTGTATAACAGGTTTTTGGTTTATGGTTACCATTGGGTTCATATATAACATCTACTCTGTATAGCAGTCTCTTAAGTTGATGGTTGCTTTATTTCAAACGCATTCTGAAGACACTACATTTTTACTACCCTTTCCACATTTTATGTATATGATGTCATATTTTATTTACATCCTTTTATTTTGTGTATTCCTAAACTAATTTTTGTAGATATAATAGATTTTACTACTTTTGTGTTTTAATCTCCATACTGGCTTCATAAGTGATTAATCTACTACCTTTACTATATATTACTATATATTTTACCTGTGAAATTTTTTCTTTTCATAATTTTCTGTGATTTATGGCCTTTTCTTTCCAGTCAAAGAATTCCCTTTAACATTTCTTATGGGGCGCCTGGGTGGCTTAGTTAAGCCTCTGACTCTTGGTTTCAGCTAAAGTTTTGATCTCGTGATCTCAGGGTCCTGGGATCAAGTCCCGTGTCAGGCTGCGTGCTCAGCTGAGTCTGCTTCCCCTCTCTCTTTCTCTCCCTCTCCCCCAACACGTGCACACACACACACTCTCTAAAATAAATAAATAAATCTTTAAAAGAAAGAATTCCTGGAGTGCTTGGGTGGCTTAGTCAGTCCCTGCTCAGCAGGGAGTCTGCTTCTCCCTCTCCCTCTGCCCCTCCTCTCTGCTCATGTGCGCACGCTCTCTCTCTCTCTCTCTCTCTCTCTCTGTGTCTTGCTCTCTTTTTCTCAAATAAATAAAATCTTTAAAAAAAAAAATTCCCTTTAACATTTCTTGTAAGGCTGGTTTGGTGGTGATGAACTCCTTTAACTTTTGTCTGGGAAACTCTGTTTCTCCTATTCTGAATGATAATCTTGCTGGGTAAAGTATTCTTGGTTATAGGTTTCTTCTTTCAGCACTTTGAATATCTCATACCACTTTCTTTTGGTCTGCAAAGTTTCTGCTGAAAAATCAGCTGATAGCCTTCGGTTTCCCTTGTTTGTAACTATTTTCTCTTCTTTAAAAATTCTGTATTTATCATTACTTTTTGCCATTTTCATTATTATGTGTCTTGGCATGGACCTTCTTGGGTTCATCTTGTTAGGGGCTCTCTGTGCTTCCTAAACCTGTTTCCTTCCCCAGATTAGGGATGTTTTCAGCTATTACTTAATTGAAATGTTTCTTTCTGGCATCCTTATACTGCAAATGCTATTCTGCTTAATGATGTTGCAGAGTTCCCTTAACCTGTTCTCACTTTTTATTCTTTTTTCCTTTTTGCTGTTTAGCTTGAATGATTGCCAGTATTCTTCCATATTGCTGATCTGTTCTTCTACTTCCTCTCATTTGCTGTTGATTCCCTCTATTTCAGTTACTGAATTCTTCAGCTCTGACTGGTTCTTTCTTGTATTTTCTGTCTCTTTGTTCAAGTTCTGATTCATCTACTCTTTTCTCAAGTCCAGTGAGTAGTATCTTTATGATCATTACTTTGAATTCTTCCTCAGGCAAATTGCTTATCTCCATTTCATTTAGCTTTTTTATTGTAATTTTGTCCTGTTCTTTCCTTTGGGCCATATTCCTCTGTGTTTGTTTCTCCATATTAAGAAAGTCACCTATATCTCCTGGTCTTGAAAATGGTGGCCTTATGTAGAAGTCCTGTGGTGCCCTATAACACAGTCTTTCCTAGTCACCAGAACCAAATGCTCCAGGTGTGTCCCTTGTGTGGGGTGCTTGCGCCCTCCTATTGTAACTGAGCCACGATTGCCTTCAGTTCAGCCACTTATAATGACTCACTTTGTTTGCTGTGGGTGCAGTGGGCAGGGTTTGCTCCGGGTGCTATTGAGGAACCTGTCATGGCTGCTGCAGGCGGCTATTGTGGTCTCATTGGTGGATGGGGAAGCCGTCAGCCTAGCAGTCTGCAGTTAGCCTTTCTGACACAGCTATAGGTGCATCAAAGGGCAAGTCTTGCTCCCTGTGCAGCCAGCTAAGGTTCCCAGCTACAAGAACTGCACGCATGGTGTGTGGGCTTATTTCCCCCCACTTTCCCAGTGCGGGAATCACTTTAGAGTGGCACCAGTCCCAGCTAAGGCTGCCAGGTTGGATGGGGCAGGGTACACAGTGCTAGCAAAGTAGATGGAGAGTGTTTGTGTTGGCTCTTGCAAGTGACCAGTTAGTTATATAGGCTGGGGGTGGGAGGGAATGGTACCCACTAGCACTTTTCTTAGAGTAATCTGCAGATCCTGCCCGTTTGGCACACCTTCTAAAACAAGTCAATAAATCTTCATGTATACCTCAGGTGCTTTTAAAACTGCTACTTCTCTTCTGTGTCTCAGGTTGTTATTTAGTATGCTGGCACTTTAAGGATGAGCACTCAGTTTCCTGTTGCCTTCCAGCTATCCCAGAGTTAAGCCCACTGATTTTTTTTTTTTTTTTTTTTTAAGGCAGAGGCGTTTATTCAAGCAGAGATGAGCCAGACACAGACACAACATGGTAGGAATACAGGGGGTCAGGGTCAGGATATAGGAGCATACCCTCACTCTGTGGCCAGACACCCCAAGAGGGTGTAGTGAGGGGGGGACAGGGCTGGTGAGCCCTATCACGAAGACCACCACAGCCCCCTCCCCTGGGAGGGACCTTTCCCACCCTACTGAAGGGGGGGGGTGCAAGGAAAGGGGCCTAGTCCTATAGTAGTTCATATAAGTGTCACTGGTTTTTAAAGCTTCTGGAGTTAAGCCCTGCTGGTTTTCAAAGCTACACATTACAGCAATTCATCTTCCCAGCGCAGATCCCCAGTGCCAAGAGTGTCCTGTGTGGAGTCTGAGCCTCTCTTCTTCATGCTTGTGAGTGTCTCTCCTTGTTGTGGTTAGTTACACCAGGTATTTGGTTCTCGGGTACATCTTTTTTCAGTGTGGACTTTTCTCTCTGATTATCCAGTCTGTTCTGTCAGTCTTTAGGTCATTTTCAGTTAGTGTGTTAGGTATAGCTGTTTTCTTGTGTCCGTGGATCAAGGTGAGCTCAAGACCCTCCTACTCTGCTATCTTCCACCATTTGGTACCATATCATTTTAATGGGAAAAGTAAGAACTTTTTAACAAGTAGTGCTAGGATGGATTTTTGGTTGTTTGGAAATAAATGCGCCTTGACCTCATTTTTTTTCCATACAAAAAAATTTATTCAATAAATGTAAAACCAGGAATGTTCTTAACCCCCATTTCATTGGATAAGGATTTAAGTGGTTAGTTTAAGGGAAAAGTAACCCTGAAGTGTGCAAAGCTTATTAAACAGTAGAAGAAACAATAGGTGTCTATAGTTAACTTTCAAGTTTTTAAAAGGAAGGCTTATTTATGTTATCTTTATTTTCTTTATATACACCATACCTCTTTTTTTTTAAGATTTTATTTATTTAACGGAGAGAGAGTGAGTACAAGCAGGGGGAGCGGCAGGCAGAGGGAGAGGGAGAAGCAGACTTCCCGCCAAGCAGGGAGCCCGATGCGGGGCTGGATCCCAGGACCCTGGGATCATGACCTGAGCTGAAGGCAGACTCTTTTTTTTTTTTTTTTTTTTTTTTTTTAAAGATTTTATTTATTTATTTGAGAGAGAGAATGAGATAGAGAGCATGAGAGGGGGGAGGGTCAGAGAGAGAGGCAGACTCTCTGCTGAGCAGGGAGCCCGATGCGGGACTCGATCCCGGGACTCCAGGATCATGACCTGAGCCGAAGGCAGTCGCTTAACCAACTGAGCCACCCAGGCGCCCCTGAAGGCAGACTCTTAACAACTGAGCCACCCAGGCGCCCCTACAAGTATTTTTTTTAAATGGATGATTTACTTGTAACTGCTTAGACCATGACTTTTTACTAAGTTAAAGGCAGTGAGCTCATAAACGGATATAATGCATATCATCTGAAGAGCATGAAACTTACACATAGATAACCCACTTTTTACTCCTAAATGAACACCAAAGGAAGTAAAAACAAGAAAATACACATAGTCAAAATAGGCAGCAATTATATATCCAGACTTTGTTGAATTACTATATTGTCTGCCACTCTGATCCCCAAAAGAAAGTCTCTCCATTCTACCATGTATATCTCAGTGATGCAAAATAGCTCATAAACAGTTGGCAGATACAAGAATGATATTTCCAGGGGCTCTTGGGTGGCTTAGTTGGTTGAGCGTCTGCCTTTGGCTCAGGTCCTGATCCCAAGACGGAGTCTTGCATTAGGCTCCCTGCTCAGCGGGGAGCCTGCTTCTCCCTCTGCCCTTCCCCCCTGCTTGTGCACACTCTCTCTCTGTCAAATAAATAAAATCTTAAAAAAAAAAAAAAAGATATTTCCATATATTATAGAAGTTTTATAAATGTACCTCCCCCACCACCATCACATTAATGGTTAGTGTCAGGCCTTTTCACAGTAGAAAGTCTTAGTAATATAAGAAGACTTTAAGGAAAAACTGAAATCTTGCAGTTAATGGTTTATCTGAGAAAAGCATACACAGTAATTAAATGCAGAGATTGAATCTTTTTTTTAAAGATTTTATTTATTTATTTGAGAGAGAGAGAATGAGAGACAGAGAGCATGAGAGGGAGGAGGGTCAGAGGGAGAAGCAGAGATTGAATCTTGATCTTACCCAATGACCTAACCAGGGGTCATTTTTTCCCCCTAAGGACATTTGGCAACATCTAAATATTTTTCATTATCACAGTTGGGGTAGTGCTGTTGGCATCCACTGGTTAGGGCCGAGGGATGATGGTAAACATCCTGCAATGCACAGGACAGTCCCTCACAATAAAGAATTATCGGGCGCCTGGGTGGCTCAGTTGGTTAGGCGACTGCCTTCAGCTCAGGTCATGATCCTGGAGTACCGGGATCGAGTCCCGCATCGGGCTCCCTGCTCGGCAGGGAGTCTGCTTCTCCCTCTGACCCTCCCCCCTCTCATGCTCTCTCTCTCTCATTCTCTCTCTCAAATAAATAAATAAAATCTAAAATAAAATAAAATAAAATCTTTCTTTAAAAAAAAAAAAAAAACAATAAAGAATTATCTGGCCCAAGATGTCCATGGCGCCAAAGTTGAGAAATCCTACAACCAATGGATAAATAGATGGCTGGATGATACACATGGTAAATACAATGAGAAAGAAGAAAACTAAATTTCTTTTTTCCTCATTGAAAAGCCAATTTGTGATGCCTAAAACTGGGAGGAAAAGCCAGTAAATAGCGATACAAACATGTTACTTTGAGATTTGGACGTAAACACCAAATGAATCAGCTAATAGAGTTAAAAGTGATTAACTTCTGGGAAAGAAGAAATGGGTAAAGGTGGTTGGAGAGTGCTATTTGTTTTAATTAACCAGGTAAAACTAGTTGTTGCTTTATATTAAATGTATATTCAATTTTGATTGAATAAAACCTTTACAATATGTTAAAGATACTGAAGTTCAGATAAAGTGTCTTACCCAAAGTCACATAGCTAGATTTGACCTTACATCTAAAAACCCTAGTTTGCTCTATTGAATCTGACATGAATATTTAATTATACATGTGCCTTATCTCCCTTAATAAGCTGTAGGTTCCCTGAGGCCAGGATCTATATCTGATTCAATTTAGTAATCTTCAGAATAAGTAGCCTTCTATGTGGGGTGACTTAACCATCTCACTGGGACACTTCTGAGAGTGAAATGAGATTCTGTCAATAAATATAGTGCTCTTCATCTTGATACCTTTCTTTCCAGTGGTTTGTTTTGTTTTGTTTTGCCCTTCTGTTTTTTTAGAGGCTTTATAGTTAATTGGTGCCTGCCTCACCTGCTTTTTTTTACTTAGCTTCAGTTTTCACCCAGGTCATCAGTAAAAATGTTGGTTGTGAGAGATGTAGTATTGCACTAGAGTACTTTTGAACTTCATTTTCAGAGAATCTCAGATGAATGTCCCTGGAAAGATGCCTGAAGACACAGATAGGGAAAGATATAACCAGTTTAATCTTGGAACCTAGAATAGAAAGCAGAAAACCCATGAGCCTTTGGATCAGCCACCTTTGTCTTCTTCTTATCAGTTCTTGGTATTAGACCACATTCAGTAATTGTTAAATGATCACAGGTATCCTTGTTAGAGCTCATGCCCAGAATAATAGCTAACATGACTGTGGTGCCAGATACAGTTTTACATGTATTTTTGCATTTAATCATCTAAACAGCCTCCCTAGTTAGGTGCAGTCGATATCTTCATTTTATTGCCAAAGAAATTGAAGCATCAGTGGTCAAGTAACTTGCCCAAGGTCATACAGTTGGGACATGGCCCATCCATTGAGAATTATGACTATAACAAGTTGAATACCTGTTCATTACCAGGAAACTCAGGAAGGAGAAACAAGTCTAAACTTGGATTTGGTTATATAAAAAATAACACTAACTATAGTCATTGGCCTTCTGTTGGCTTTTTTATATGCTTTTCAATACAGTTTCATCCAATCCCATAGTTTTAATTAGTAGATTTTGATAACTTCCAAAATATATCTGTAGATAATATTTCCCTTTTTTTTGTTTTTTGTTTTTTGTTTTTAATTTTTTGTGTGTGTGTAGATATTTTTTTCAATTTTAGACTAGTATATCCATTTGTAATCTCCATTTGAATGTTCCACAAATCTCAAATTCCTTGTCTAAAACTGAAACTCCAAACCCGTTTTCGCTCTGTTTCCTGTATCAGTAAATGATCCCACCATTCAGTCAGATGCCCAGGCAGAAACTTAGGGTCATTCTTTACTCCTTCTTCTTCCTTGGCCTCCAGAGCCACTCAGTTAGCAGTAGTCCAGATATCTCTCAACTCTATCCTATCTCTACTCCTACAATCCTAGATATATAGCCACCATCATCTCTTGCCAGAATTAAACTACCACAGCTTCTGACTGTCTCTGTACCCTTGGTCTTCCTTACAGTTAGAAATCCATAATGCAATCAGCAAATCAGCAATCTTTCTAAGTATGAATTTGATTATGTTGCTCCTGCTTTTTTTACTTCAGTATGAATTTGATTATGTTGCTCCTGCTTTTTTTTACTTCATGCTGCATTGCAATGTTGCTTTCAGGGTTAAATCAAAACAAAGCTTTTAGTTGGTTTGTTTTTGTTTTTAAAATTTATTTATTTTAGAGGGGAGAAGGGCAGAGAGAGAGAGAATTTAAGCAGACTCTGCACTGAGAACGAAGCCCGACGCGGGGCTCGATCTCACAATACCGAGCTCATGACCTGAGAGTCAGGACACTTAACTGACTGAGCCACCCAGGCACCCCAAGACTCTTAGTTTTCTTAAACATTATCAAGTGCAGGGTTCCAGTTGTGGTGTATACAAAAATATTACAGCTAATAGGGTGCCATTCACATTGTATACATTTTTGTTATTTTGAATTTTATTGACTCTAAAATCAGTTATAAGTCTTATTATTAAATGGAATCATACAATAGTGATACTTTGTGACTGGCTTTCACATATCATACTGTTTTCAAGGTTCATCCATGTTGTAGCATATAACTTGTTTTTATCGCCAAGCAATATTCCATTGTATGGATAACACCCACATTTTGTATTTATCCATCAGTAATGGACATTTGAATTATTTCTAGTTTTTGGCTATTATGAATAATGTTGCTATGAACACTTTGTACAAATCTGTGTAGACCTACATTTTCATTCTGGTATTGGTGGGTCATATGGTAACTCTTAAGAAATTGCCAGACTGTTTTCCAAGGCACCTGTACCATTCTACATCTGCACTAGCACCTCAGGAAGGTTTCGATTTTTCCACATCTTTGCCAACACTTGACATTATATATCCTTTCATTATAGCCATCATAGTGGGTGTGAAGTGGTATGTGGTGGTCAGCTTTTCATGTGCTTATTGGGCATTTGTATATACATTAATTTCTTAACATTTTTTTAAGGATTTTCTTTCTTTATTTTGAGAGAGAAAGCACAAGCGGAGGGGAGGGGCAGAGGGAGAAGCAGGCTCCCTGCTTGGGAGCCCAACTCGGGGCTCGATCCTAGGACCCTGGGCTCATGACCTGAGCCAAGGGCAGATGCTTAACTGATTGAGCCATACAGGCGCCCCTCTTTTTAACAATTCTAAGATAAAGTTGTAATCTCTTTCTCCCTAGATGATGGAAACAAAATCAAAAAATTTGTCAGCATCAGAAAACAGAAAAAGGAATGCGGTTAGAGAAGAAGAAAATGAGAGAAAATTATATGGACCATCGAATACTCTTTTAGAAAAAAAAGAGGGAATACCAGAGAAAAAGGAAAAGACTTCAGAGCTACAGGTTTTGGCAGAATATAGCACAGATGCATCACTGATCAAGCAGGATGTGAATTTACCTTCTTCTTTGTTAACCATAGCTGATAAATTTCAAGAGCCACTGGAAGAGAAAAAATCAGAAGACTGCATTATATCAGTTGTACTTTCTACAGACCCAGGTACATGGCCCCGAATTTTGAATACTAAACAACGGGACATTCTTGTTGAAAACGATCCACCTCAAGTAAGAAATTTTAACTTTCCAAAAGACAATACAGGGAGGAAATTTTCAGAAACTTACTACACACGAATTCTTCCAAATGGTGATAAAACCACTAGATCCTGGTTACTTTATTCGACTTCAAAAGATTCTGTATTTTGTTTGTATTGCAAACTCTTTGGGGAAGGAAAAAATCAACTGAAGAATGAGAATGGGTGCAAAGATTGGCAGCATTTATCACATATTCTTAGCAAACATGAGGAAAGTGAAATGCATATCAACAATAGTGTTAAGTATTCAAAATTAAAATCTGATTTGAAAAAAAATAAAACTGTGGAATCTGCAGAACATGGATTACATGAGAATGAGAAAAATGATGGTGTGCTCTTGTTGTACACATAATATACCTGATGTGGTTCTTGACGTAATAGGGTCTTAAATTTATTCAGAAAAGATCTATACCCTAATGGTCAGTACCATTTTTGTTGGGAGGCTCAGGCTCCTATGACTTGCAGCAGTTCATTAGCAATAAGTATAATAGCAAATAAATAGTAAAGAATGTTTCTGTTCCAAATTCTAAAGCTAATTGGGTTCAGTAGTGATTAATGCAGATTTCAGTAAAGGCAGTTATTTTTTCATTCTGTGTGAATTCACACCTTTTACAATTGGCATTTGAGGACTAACATTTAACATGTTTGGTTAATTTTCTGTTCTGATTACTTTGAAAGGAGGAGAAAAAGGCTTCAATTTATCAATACTAGTTTGAACAAGATACTGTGTGACTATTCTCATTATTAAGGTAAAAACATTCAGAAACAGTTTGAGAGTAGAATGGAATCTGAAACTGCAGCTTTTTGCTATTAAACCAAATACCTGTGATTTATTCCTTTTGGGCAAAACATTTTTTTATTATTTGAGCAAAGCAGTATTATTTGTTACATTGTATTAAGGTGATTAATTTGCATTTTATTGGTCTTAATTTATAAATGTTTTTGCTCTTATTGTTGTGTGAGAACTATGGGAATAAAGAGTGTATACCTATTTTTATGTTAGTACAAATCTAAGAAATATTAAAAATATGTTAAGTCAACCTTTAGGTATTGTGGCAATTTTTTTTTCCTCTGAAGGAGACTACATGCTTAAATTTGAGAAATACACTAATGAAAATTAAGGATCTCTGTTTTTTCAAATGGTCACTATTCCCATCACTATATTTAGTAATTCTCCCTTCTGATTTTGGAAATTGAAACCAACTTTATCATATATTAAATTCTTAACATATACCTGGGTTGTGTTTTCAAGCTGTGGAACAAAATGTCATATAAGCGATGACCAGAGCAGAACAAGGTGCATTCCCTTTGGTGGGGGGTGACACTAGGAGTACTTGTAGACTTTGTCAGTGATGCCAGTGCATAAAATTATTTTTAGAATACCTAGGAAAATCATTCTCATTAATTTATAACCATTTTGGGTTTTGACACTGGACCGTTTCAGTCTTTCGGAGTCGGATTTGAATGAAGCTTTGGGATGTTTCCAAAAATCCAGTTTACTCTTGGAGGCCTAAGAGGCTTCTCTAGGAATATAACACAGGTTTTGAAGTTCCTTTCCAAATGATTAATGGGCCCATTATTTCATTAAAACTTAACAGTTAATTGAATGACATTATATTAGATAGACGCTTGGTATCAGTGGTATCTGAGTAAACTAATGAAATCAGCCAGTGGCTACTTAAGATAATTTGCTAAAAACATTGAATTTGTCCATTGAGAAAACAATTAAATCCTTTCCTTTATTTATTTATTTGACACAGAGAGAGAGAGCACAAATAGGGGGAGCTGCAGGCAGAGGGAGCAGGAAGCCTGATGGCGGGGCTCTATCCCAGGACCCTGGGATCATGACCTGAGCCGAAGGCAGACGCTTAATGACTGAGCCACCCAGGCGCCCCAAATCCTCTCCTTTAAATTCTTTCATTTTTGGGACGCCTGGGTGGCTCAGTCAGTTAAGCATCTGCCTTCGGCTCAGGTCATGATCCCAGGGTCCTGGGGGATCCAGTCCCACGTATCAGGCTCTTTGCTCAGCGGGGAACCTGCTTCTCCCTCTGCCTGCCGGTCCCCCTGCTTCTCATGTGCTCTTTCTCTCTCTTTGACAAATTAATAAAATCTTTAAAAAAAATTCTTTCATTTCTTCAACATACTGCAAACACCTGTAAGGCACCATAAGCTCTTCATGTAGTAATGAAGTAAATGTGAAAATTTCAAAAGATGTAGATGCTGGGTTTATCCTTGTTCCCTGTAAAGTTCATTCAACTTTTTGGTATGTGAAATTTTTCATAATGAAATGTTGATGGAAAAATCAACTAAATTCAGAACATAATAAATACCTCTAGGCAGGGGATAATTTTTTTTTCCATTATCAACTTTTTTTTAATTGTAAAATTACTATGTTCTTACTGTAGAAGGAAGGAAGAAAACAGTTAAAAGTCTTGTTTTTCATCTACTTCCCCTGCTGAAGGACTTGTCATCAGTGATCTGGACTGTACCCAGGATTTGTTTTCATCTTTTTAATTTTATTGAGAAAAGGCATTAGGAAACATCTACCACTAATTTAATATAAAAAATTAGGAAGGACAATTCAGAATAACAGTCCTTAAGAAATGGCAATTTATTGGTTTTCTCATTTCACAGAGGACAAGTGAAATTCTTTGATAAATTTTTTATATGTACAAGGTACAATTTGCTACACAGGATGTAAAAGGGGGTAAGTGAAGAGCTCAAGTTCTGTAGAAAGAATAATACTTTATCATTTTAGGTCATGTCACTCTTCTGATTCAAAGCTTTAAAATTCCCCATTGCTTTTAGTTTAAAACTCCCAACTCCTTGGCACATCATAAATAGCTGCAATCCTGAGTGGCAGATAATAGGCAAAGAGGTTGTAGACAAAGACAACATTAAGTACAAAATTGTAGAAGTGACTAGTGCTCTATAATTTTGAATTATAAAGTGTGACCATGTTAGGATGAGATTAAAAATTTGAGAATTTAGGGGCGCCTGGGTGGCTCAGTACGTTGAGCATCTGCCTTTGGCTCAAGTCATGATTCCAGGTTCTGGGGTGGAGCCCCCGTGGCAGGCTCCCTGCTCAGTGGGGAGCCTGCTTCTCCCTTTCCCTCTGTCCCTCCCCTGCTCATGCTCGCTCTCTCGAATAGATAAAATCTTTAAAAAAATAAATATTATAAGCAGCACTTAGCTTATTTTCTAATTGTTTATTGTTAATATATAGGACTACAATTAATTTTAAAATTTTAAAATTTTTTCAAGTGCTGCTTATAATAGCATCAAAAAATCAAATACATGCAAATAATATAGTGAAATAGATGCATAAACTCCACACATTAGCCTATAAAACATTGAAGAAAACATGAATAACCATTTTCCTAGATTGGAAGACTTGATATTAACATAAAATATGTCAGTTCTCCCAATGCTGATGTAGATTCATTACCATCCCAGTCAAAATCTCAGTTTTTGTGTGTGTTTGGTGGAAATTGATTAACTGATTCTAATGTTTATAGGAAATATAAAGCCTTAGAATAATAGCCAAAATAGGGGTGTCCAGCTGGCTTGATCAGTAGAGCATGTGATTCTTGATCTCAGGGTTGTAAGTTCGAGCCCCACATTGGGTGTGGAGATTATGTAAAAATAAAATCTCAAAAAAAAAATAGCAAAACATTCTTGAAACAATGAATTTGTGGAGGATCTACTTATCCTGCCCTATCAATATATATTATAAAACTAGTTAAGTCTGATTTTGTGGAAAGGATAGGCAGATAAATCCAGTAAGTAGAATGGAATAGAGAGCCCAGAAACCAAACTACACATGTATAAACACCTGGTTTACCTTTACAGTAAAGGTATTACTGCAATTCAGTGAAGAAAGGATGATTGATGGTTTTGTCAATGAATAGTGCCAGATGTAAACCTTGACTCTTCTATCCACACCATGCACAAAAATGTATTTGAAATTGATCACAGACTTAAATATGAAAAGTAAAACAATAAAACTTCTATAAGAAAACACAGGAAAATATTTTCATGACCTTGGAAGACACAAATTTTTTTTAAAGATTTTATTTGAGAGAGAGAGAGAGAGAGAGATAGAACGAGTCAGGGGAGGGGCAGAGGGAGAAGCAGACCCCCTGCAGAGCAAGGGGCCAGATGGGATCGAGTCCCCACGTGGGGATCCCTGCTCCGTGGGAAGCCTGCTTCTCCCTCTCCCACTTCCCCTGCTTGTGTTTCTGCTCTCGCTATTTCTCTGTCAAATAAATAAAATCTTTAAAAAAAAAAAAAAGGGGTGCCTGTTCAGCCCTCTGAATGAGGAAAAGCAAAGCAAGGGGCATTTGATGGATCTGAGAATAGAAAAACCGCAAGAGAGCCAACAAGTACTCACTGAGAGATACAGCAGGCCAATCCAAGAACTGACACTGGAAGGGGTTTTCCTAATTCAGTAACTGATGAGTATAAATTCCAGAAACTGAACAGTTAGGGGTCCCTTCAAGGACAAGGCCCCACACAGAGAAATCAAAATTAAGCAGATTAGGAACAATAGAGACCAAGCAAAGATGTCTGGATTCAAGTGTGAAATGAGAACAGAGCCAGGTAATCTCAGAAAGCAGGTTGACATAGTTTTTTAACACTACACAAACACAACAGATGAAAGCCCTCTGAAGTACAAAAGCTACCCTGAACTACACTTCCTAATAATTCCGGAAAACTAAACTCAACCTACAAAAAAGCAACAAAAATATCAAGGCCAAATCCCAACAAAATTATAAGAAAAAAGAGAATAAAGGGCGCCTGGGTGGCTGTTAGTTAAGCAACTGCCTTCGGCTCAGGTCATGATCCCAGAGTCCTGGGATTGAGTTCTACATCAGGCTCCCAGCTTAGCGGAGAGCCTGCTTCTCCCTCTGACCCTCTCCCCTCTCATGCTGTTTCTCTCTCTCTCTCTCTCTCTCTCTCAAATAAATAAATAAATAAAATCTTTTAAAAATTAAAAAAAAATAAGAAACAGACATCCAAAGAGATAATGAAAATATGCTAGAAAGACATGCTTAGAAAACATCAAAACTGCAGCATATTACTTAAAAACAAGATTCAAAAAGGAAAAAATTTCAAGAAAATGATTCCCAATTTGATAGAACCTTAATCAAAACCTCAGAAATGAAGGCACAGTAAATAAATAAAATCTTTAAAAAAAAAAAAAGGGCGCCTGGGTGGCTCAGTTGGTTAAGCGACTGCTCAGGTCATGATCCTGGAGTCACTGGATCGAGTCCCGCATCGGGCTCCCTGCTCAGCAGGAAGTCTGCTTCTCCCTCTGACCCTCCCCCCTCTCATGTACTCGCTCTCTCTCATTCTCTCTCTCTCAAATAAATAAATAAAATCTTTAAAAAAAAAAAAAGAGAAATGAAGGCACAGATGTCAAGAAAAAAATAGAAATAAAAGTGTTAGAAAGAGTAAGGTAGAGGGAACACAAGAATGAATAAACACAACATATAGTGCCTTAAAAAGTGAAATGGGGGACTTTTTAAAAATTTATTATTTTTGATTTTTTGAAAAGACTTTATTTGAGAGAGAGAAATTGTGAGTGGGGGGAGGAGCAGAGGGAAAGGGACAAGCAGACTCTGTGCTGAGCATGGAGCCTGACTTCGGGCTCAATCCCATGACCCCAAGACCACAACCTGAGCTGAAATCGAGAGTTGGATGCTTAACATACTAAGCCACCCAGGTGCTCCTTATTTATTTTATTTTTAAGTAAGCTCTACACCGTTAGACTTGAACACATGAGCCCGAGATCAAGAGTTGCATGCTCTACTGACTGAGCCAGCTAGGTGCCCCTAAATGGGGGACATTTTTAAAAATAAAAAAGAAATGGAGATCACATCCAGTGGCCCAACAACCCTATGCCCATGGCTCATGAATATAAAGATCTAGAACTTAGAGCACATTTTCCCACCCATGGGGCCATAGTGGACCCATGGAGACACCCAGGGTACAGCTGCTATGGGAAACTACTTGAATAATGGAAGTAGATGTGTTG